AAAAAAAAACATTGTAACTCAAAACAAAATGATGGCTATAATATGAGAATATTAAAAAATCCAAGTTTTCTAAAGTTAAATAGTATAGTGATGTTGTGACTAATATATTTATATTCGATAATAATTTAATCTTCAAAATGTCTTTTTATGTTTCTTAATAATTTATAAAAATATAGTTACAAGGTTTTTAGCATATTGCTGTCGATTAGGTAAAATAGTTTGCTCAGTTTTAAATTTTTATAATTCAACTGGGTTATATTTTTACTGTTCTAAAAATAAAAATTGTTAATTACATATGAATATAAATGACATGCGTATAATTATGTGTATGTTAAAAATTAATTAATTACTTTGATAAAATTGTCAGCAATTACAATTGTGTTTGTAAGTAATTACCAATTAAATTCATTGAGTTATTACGTTTTAAATATTTAGAATATAAAACTTCTATTTTTATAAAAATCATTGTATTATTAATTTTCAAATTATATTTTTCCCATAATATATTACCAATGAAACAGAAACATTATAATATAATTATTAAAGTTCATTAAACACATTTGAATTAACATTGCTGGTAAAAGCACTTCATATTATTTAAATAATTCTTTTTTTTATTTACTTACAGGTTTTATACCATGAAGCTGATTTTTAAATCACTGGGTACATTACCCTTAAGGCGATTTCTATCAACCTTACCCAAACCGTTAAATCCTGTACAAGAAGCTGCCCTCGAAGAACGTTGTATTCTTGTTGACCAAAATGACCAAGAATGCGGTTTCGCTAGTAAACGAGACTGTCACAGACTAGTAAACGGAAACCTTCCATTACACCGTGCATTTAGTGTCTTTTTGTTCAATACCAAAGATGAATTACTATTACAACAGCGTTCATCAACCAAGATCACATTCCCAGATCATTATACAAATTCATGTTGTAGTCATCCRCTGTACGAGATTGAACATGAGCGCAAAGACCTAGAAGGTGCTAAAGCTGCTGCTTGTCGCAGACTTGTGTTTGAATTAGGAATTCCTACAAGCCAATGTCAACCTAAAGACTTGCAATATATAACCAGAATAAGGTAATAACAACAACTTAATCAATATATAAAAAACTTGATGTCTAACTTGAAATTTTATTTAGGTACATGTCTGAAGGAGATGGGACCTGGGGTGAACATGAGATTGATTATATATTTATTTTGCATAAAGATGTTGCTTTGGATCCTAATCCAGATGAAGTGAGTACTGCCCTGTATATTCCCAAATCAAAAATGAATAAATTCTTGAAGAATTTAAAACATCCAATTACGCCATGGTTTAAACTAATTGCACAAAATGAATTGACAAACTGGTGGGACAATTTAAGATCTCTGGAAAAAGTCATGAATCATAAACAAATTATTAGCTATTAACCACTTTTCTACTACGGGAATTATTAATTACGATTGGGACTATATAAACATTTGTACTGTTTACAGTATGGAAATTAGATTAACATTGTTATTCATTTTATTGTGATAAAATACTATTGTTCACATATTATATATATATATATGCATTTGGTATTATATTTTTTTAATCTAATTATGAAATTTATTAAATATTAACATAAATGTATAAAAGAATTAAATGTTCAACCTCAAATTTTTAAAAAGTATCTAGATATTTTAATAAAACTTTGATTTGAAAAAAAATATGGGTTAATTTCAAAATGTTGTATTACRAAARTTTTTATATTTATATATATTTGTGTTGTTACTAACTACATTTAGTAGAAACGAATAAATTGTTTATTTTGTAATGAAGAAAAAATATATTTTGTTATTTTTKAAGAAAATATATTTTATTCTTTAACTGATAGAATAGAATTTTATACCTAATTATCATGTTATTGATAAAGAAAGATGTTTTAAGCCTCTTAAAGTTAACATTGTATATTAAAGAATAGTTTTTAATGAAAAATATAAATAAAATATGTTGGTTAATCATTATATGATATATTTTAAATATATCAACCCTTTTTCTTATTGTAATAAATATTCATAACTCATATATTATTTATTTTTGTAACTTATTATTGAATGATGTTAGTTTAAATGTTTGAATACAAATAAATAGTTATATTAAGTGAGGAAAGCAAAAATGAAGTAAAATTATATATATAGTTAACGTAACAAATAATAATAATTAAAAAAAAAAAAA